CTGAAAAGGAGATTAAAACAAGTGAGGACATAAAACAAACAGTTGGTGTGCGACACGGAGGGAGTCTGGAGCCTAAATGGTGCATCCCAGCTGTTCCTCCTGCGACCGCCTGCTTCTGTTTCAGGCGTAGGCTTAGCCTTTGATTCTTCATTCGAACAATTTTGCGCCGTCTCGTTTGATCAATCATCAAATCACCGACACCGACGGCGGAAGCTTTTAAATTTGTCATCTACAGAACCCGTATCTATCAAGGTCGCCATCTGTTTCTTGTAGCCCCACTCCTGCCCTGTTTTTCGCAAGTTTGGGGGCTTTTTATTACCCTCCAAAACAATTTACATATCATCAATTAAAATTCCATGCTTTTAAATCTGAACTAATAATCATTATAGCTTTTATTATTATTATTTTCCTCTTGAATATCACTTTAATAAAAAGAAATTCAAAATTAGTTCTATAAATATTTCTAAATAAGTAGAGAAAAATAGTGAATCTGCTATTTAAATTATTAATGCATACATGTAAAAAATATCCATTAAAAAATAGAAAACGAAATCATCGTGTCAAGGTAATTGGAGGCCAGCCCATGACTATTGCCTTGACTACCATAATAATCATGGGCCTTACAAGGCCCATAACTCAAGCAAACTTGATGGATTCGAGCCTCGTGTAGCCCAAGTTCAATAGGAGTGTTTAGAAGGAATGTGGATGGAGCCAGGCCCAGATTGAACCGACCTCTTACCTCGGCCCAGCCCATTAGAAAACCGACAAATTAAGGGCAAGGCTAAAGAGTCGCCCTCCGGATTCAGCCGAAGACACATAGCAGGAAGCAATGACGAGTGGGTTTGACCAAAAAGATTTGTTAAAAAAAAATATATATACTAAAAATAAGGCTAAAGACAGATCCATCACTTTTAGGAACCCTAATTCCTCTTTAAAACAAGTGGGGGAAAAAAATATCTTTTGAAATGATAAGGTCACGTGGCTTCTCTACCAAGCTGATTTTCCATTTATTATAGTGTCCCTCCTCTATTTAATATTCCGTCTTTTTTTAAACAAAAACGATTTTCATTTTAAAAGAAAAATAAAGTAGAAAATTTACCCCCACAATATTGAATATATCTAAATTTTGTTGTCCATCGTGTATTCAATAAATACATTATGACAAATTTATAAGTTTGTATTATATTACATAAAATATATTTTTTTTTTCTAAAGGCGTAGATCTATATGAATTTGACCTCTCTAAAAAGTAGCAAGAATATTTGATGCATCATTATATTCTAAAGCAATATAAAGTTTGGAGTAAGATCAAATAAATTATGACAAAAGCTATGGTCAAAGAAAGTGGATTAAACATGACCTGTTATCTTAGAGGTTCGTATTAATTCACATAAAAAAGAATTTAAAATCTATAACAATAATGGTCAATATACCATATTTGATCGATAAAAAAATAGTTACTAATATTAGTCTCGTTTGTGTATACCATTTTAATTGTTGGACGTGGGAGAGGAGATATATATATTGGAAAAGTCAAAATAAAAAGATGGAGATATTAATGTGGAACATTGAAAGGCAAGGAGTAGTGTTAAAAATGGTGTCGGACAAGGACCATGGAAAGGTCACTAAAAAAAGAAAGAGAGAGAGAGAGAGAGAGAGAGAGACATCCTTAGTTGTGTTGAAAAGAAGAGAGCATAAGAGGGTGTGGAGGAAACGAAGAGAGTAACATAAAGGAAGCTTACCTGAATTGACCATTCACTATGGCCTTAGCTTATAGGTTCTTATGATACACATTAATACCCAAACTAACTTTAATGCGTTCTTTTTTCTTTTGGATTATGCACTGCAATAAATAAGGCTTCATTATTATCACCTATTGCTTATAAATCCCCATCCATTCACTTTTCATACTCACTTAGACCCTTTTCTTAATACAAAAAAAAAAAAAAACCGAACCGAACCAAGTCAGGTAGGAATTAAGATCGGTTGGGTCTAGGCGCAAGGTTTTGTCTTTAATATTAATTGAACTTAACCAACAAAAACAAAAAAAACAAAAAGAAATCAAAAAGTCTGAAGACAGAGCATTGGTTAGTGTGATGTGAGACTGCGTCTGAGCGACAGTCTGGGATGGCGTGCAAGCATGGGCTTCATCGCCGTCCCTTCTTCCGTCCATCTATCTACAACGTCGACCGGTTTGATTCTTCAGTCTCTTTCTAATACGTCGACCGATGATGGCACAAGCACAACAGATTAGCTTCGGTTCCATATACACACCAGCCGAACCGGTCGCCAACACTGACCCAAACCCACCCGCCGACGGTTTAGGTCGGGTCGGGCGGTTGGAGCAGTTTTTGCTTGCCTGCCTACTTGTTGACATAAATGTTGACCTCTTTTATTCTCCTGTGGTCAAAGGCGAATGAGGTGCATAAAAAAGCTACGATCCTAATGTTTTATTGGAATTAGTATCTTCAAAAATAAATGTTAAAGATATTACATTGTTCTAAGGCTATTTATTTTTCATTCATTATAAGTATATAGATCTATTAATTAAACCATATAATAAAATTGTTATTATTGTTTTGAGAATAATTATTATGTTTTATTATTTGTAGTCCTATTAAATTATGCATATGACAGCTAATATATATTTATGTTTTAAGTTATATTGATTTTTTTATTTTGTATATATTTACTTGGATTCATTGCATTTATATGCATTTTCAGTTAAAAAGTCATAAGTTTGAATTATCTATTCCAATTATTAATAATATATATAAATATATTTTTGGCTAAGACTAGAGAGGAGTTTGTTTAAAACCTTTTCTCTTTTCAATTTCCGATATTTTATTCAAATAATATTTTAAAGTTTTAACATTCTTTAATTTTTCTTACAAAAAAAAAAAAAAAAAAAAAAAAAACAGAGCATTGCAAAAACATTAGGATTTTAAATTTTGGTTGCCCATTTATTTCACAAGAATTATTAAATTATTTATAGATCAATTTAAAATAGTTGTTTTTAATATTTCAATAAATTTATTTATGTGAAAATATGAGTTTTAATAAACATTTAAAACAAACTTTTAATATTTTTAGAAGTGGACAATAAATAACATATTTTCTCGCTACATTCTAATTCAATATACTAAATTTGTAATTCAATCTTTAATATACTCTATTTAAAAGATATATACCTAAAATAATAATGATAGTTTATACTTAATTCATCTCATTACGTTTGGTTATAAATAAATATTTATGTGAGTGCTAGAAAATTAAGATCGGGTTGTGTTGTCCAATATTAATAACTTTTTTTTTAAGAAAGTAATCTTTTTACGAACGTTTATTAAAAAAAAAAAAATATGTGGTTTAGTGTAATTTATTTAATGATTTTGGATGATAAAAGCTCATTCAAAATTTATTGAGATAAAAGGTAATTGAAAAATATTTTTTAATAAAAAAAATTAAACAATAAAATCAAAATATATAAATTCAAATTAGGAAGTTAAAGACACAGACCAATACACTATTTTAACATTTTTATGTTTCAAAATTTTGGTGATAAGTGAAATATATATTATTTAATAAAAATCTAAAAATGGAAACTTGTTATGCCTTTATTTGTGGGCATTATTTGAGAATACCACACAATGTAGGAGAGAGAAGTTGTAAAAAAGAAAACAAACAAACAAACATATATTCCACCAAATATATACATTAGATGACGAACATTTGACTTCAACAAAAAAAAAAAAAAAAAAACATGTCAATTACTCAATTATTTTCACCTCAAATTATTAAAGTTTCAAAATAAAGTGAAATTTGATCTAGTTTCATTATGTAACGATTTAGGAAAGGATAATTATATGGTTGTCTTCGTACTAGATTGAATTAATAATACTTCTTATCGTTTTATTTGTTGGTAAGAATAATGTTATGCATTTAAAATATCTATTAAGAGAACTATAAATATATAACTTGACATGTCTTAATTTAATATTTCAACTAAGTTATATAAAAGTAATACTAATGAATGATAAATATATATTTTTTTTAAGTCAAAAAGTTGAAATCATTTTTTTTTTTTTTTTGTTTGTTTGATTGATATAAATGTGTGCTAATCCATAACAAAAATTTGATTCATAAATATCATAAATACATACATATATTTATGATAGATAAAAGCTAAAATATCAACCAAACTTTAGGTATGAGATTTAAGGGAGGGAGAAAATGAAAGAGGAAGGAGGAATGAGCAAATGTAGAGAAGGAATTGGAGTGAAAGGAGAGGTTGGGGAGAAGCTTGGTGGCAACCAGCAGGGTTTCTTTGAATAGGAATGGGGTCCTATGGGGCCCAAGTTTAGGGGTGTTGGTGGGGTCACGTGGGTATGCATCAATCTCATATTGTTCATGCAACCACACGCCACTCGGCTGTGCCCCCCAAACAGTGACAGATAAGATCAATGGGTCCAACCTTTGCAAGCCCACATTCCTCAAATTTAACCACTTTCTCATATAGGGTCTTTGGTTTGTTTGAAAAAAATGGTGTTTTTCTTTTGGGGGAATTTGGGTTTCATAAATTGTAAGGTCTAAACCAGATGCTCCTTTTGTTGGTTAATCTTTACAACTCAAAAGTTTGACCACACTGATGTTCTTCATCCCTACTGAATCTTTCTTGAGTTAAATCACTATAATGCCTCCTTTCAACAATGGGGGGACGCATTTTTTTTTTTCTTTTTCATGTGGGTGGCCGAGGAATTCATATGGGTGTTGTTCTTGTCGTTGTTTGTTAATGTTTCTCGTTTTCCTCCTTTTTGAATATAATCTGTGAAATGAAAAAGAAAATTTTGTTTTGAAGAAAAAAAGAGGGATAAATTTGTGCTAATCTGTCTGCGAAGCTCGAGTGTGTTTGGTACTACTACCTTTGTCTCTTCTCGACTTTCAACTCCCTTAATCTCTCTCTCTCTCTCTCTGCAATAATTCTTTTTTTTTTTTTTTTTTTTTTTTTTGAAAGATCAGCCCCTTAAAAATCAGTTCCTTCCTCACGGCACACATAACCCAACCCAAACCCAAGATGCGCCTCTGTCTCCCTCTTTTTCGTCTTCTTCGACCTTCAACTCTTTCCTTTTCTTCTTTATGAACTAATGCTTACTAGAGATTTTGTAGATTGGTGCTTTTCTCCAGAATGGACTTTGGGGTAGTGGGGTTGGATGGTTTTGTGGATTCTGGTGATGCCCCTTCTCCTCACTCTAAGCTAAAATCTCTTGGATCTTGTTTCTCCAAGCAGGATAGATCTGGGTTTGTTGATGATGACTGGAGGAACTCCAAGATTCCCAAAACTGAACCCATCTCTGGTTCTAAGACAATGCCGCTTCATCAGGGCTTCCCTTTGCTGAGATCTAATACTTTTATTTCTAGTAGTGATGGGCGTCAAAAGGAGCACATGCTTAGCTTCTCTTCACTCAAATCTGAAACTTCCCTGCTACCTAAACACTCTGACCTGATTGCAAGGAATCCCCAAAACTCCATTTTCCCTCACAATCAACAGAAATCTTCAGTCTACTCTAGAAATACGGGTAAACATAGCTCTGTTTCTGTGATTTTTCATTGAGTTTTCTGTTCTTTTTATTGATAAGTGCTTCAATCTGGGGGAAAGGCTGAGTTGCATCTTTGTGAGAGGGTGGGCTTCCTTCGTATAGCTTTTGTTTCCAAATTCATTTTTGATTCGTTTCTCAGATGGGTTTGGTTTGGTTTGGTTTTGGTGAAAGTTTTCAGTTCCTAGACTGGAAACCAAAAGGAAAATAAAGGCTTAAAAACTGTAGAAGAATCTGAAGAGGGTCCACAAAATTTACCAAAATTTCGTTATTTTTTAATGGAAACATGAGCAGTGGGTTGAAGGTTTTGTTGGTGTGCAGGATGTGTTTCCGGAAGCTATAATGGTAGCATGCATGGGGGTATAGCTGGGATTAGAGGACCATTTACACAATCTCAATGGGTTGAGCTTGAACATCAGGCATTGATCTACAAATACCTCTCTTCAAATGTGCCTCTACCTTCTAATTTGCTCATTCCTCTCAAGAAATCGCTCTATCCCTATGGCTTCACTTGCTCTTCTGCTGGATCCATGCCTCCCAACTCAAGTAACTTTCTCCTTGTCTTTCTCTTATTTTAAAGAATGGGAGGAACATCTGTAATCCTTCCTGTGATTTTCAGAAAGTAATGTGGATTGGAGTTGATTAAATATTCCATGATATCACAAAATCACATATATTGTTTGTTGCAAGAGTATATATGCTTAATGCTTTGCCCTTTATCCGAGTTGTGTGTAGGGTGGGGTTCTTTCCATTTGGGTTTCTCCGGCAACACTGATCCTGAACCAGGAAGATGTCGTCGAACTGATGGAAAGAAATGGCGGTGCTCTAGAGATGCCGTTGCCGATCAGAAGTATTGTGAAAGACACATAAATAGGGGCCGCCATCGTTCAAGAAAGCCTGTGGAAAGCCAGACTGGCCATTCCGCCCCTGGGACCACTAATCCAACACCCATGGTGACATCGATGTCTACTTCGTTGTCCTCGACGGTGGTGCCCAGCGGCGGTGCATCCAACAACCTCCCGGTCATTCCTCACCAGCTCAAGAGTTTGCATCCTGTTGCTGCTTCCGATCCTGGTGCCGATGCCCCTGGCAATAGGTGAGACATGTCCTCCCTCTACGCAACAAGAGCTTTATTTTTGTGTCTTGAATCTTTGATTAGAAGAAACTTAAATTCATCAACTTGAAGAACAAATATGAGAATTCAAACTCTACCACTTCAAGGTTGCTGGTAGACCCCAGGATTTCATCTTTGCTTTGTGAATGTGACTTTTCATTTTAGTTGAGACTTAGGATTCCTTTTCTTGGAAGATATCATCATGTTGCTATAATTTCTTTGAATACAATAGTTGGGTTAAAAGCACATGTAGTTTAAACTAAGTTCTGTATACTTTTATTTTGTCTATCCATTTGCTTTAGGTTGCTAAACAGAGAGACTGTGTGTAGCAGAATCCAAGAGACTGGGGGCCTCTCAATGATGTCTTCGAATGTCAATCTCATGGCATCCAATGAAAAATCTGGTGCAAAACAAGAGATTTCTGAAGGAGATGAATTTGGACTTGTTTCCACTGATTCTCTCCTAAATCCTTCACAGCAGAGGGGCTCTTATGCCAATCCCAAAAACTATGACTCCTTCCTGATCTTCAGTGACCAGGAAACCCAAGACCATGACCAACATCCACTTCGACAGTTCTTTGAAGACTGGCCCAAGGACCAGTCGAGTCGTTCGGTCATGACCTGGCCCGAAGAATTCAAATCGGATTGGACACAGCTCTCCATGTCGATACCCATGTCTGATTTCTCCTCGTCATCATCCTCACCAACGCATGAGAAGCTAGCTCAATCTCCTCCTCTCAGGCTATCTAGGGAGCTTGAGCCAATCCAGATGAATTTGGTGGCACGCAAGAATGATGATGAGTTAGTTCAAAAGCAAAGCAACCAGATAGCAGCCGCAATGTGTTGGGGAAGTTCAATGGGGGGTCCTTTGGGAGAGGCATTGACAAACGGCAGCAACTGTGTGAAGGGCAGCAAGGTGCCACCATCACTGAATCTCTTGGGTGAAGGATGGGATGGCAGTCAGCTGGGATCCTCACCTACTGGTGTGTTGCAAAAGGCAACATTTTGCTCCCTTTCAAACAGCAGTTAGATAAAAGCATCTAAAGGGGGTGGGGGCGGCTGAGAAGAAGAAAGCCAATGTAGCTGCTGCCTGAAGCTCCTTTCTTTCTTTTCAGTAGACAGGAGGTTTCATTAAAATTTATAAAGAAAGGAATGCAAAAAATGGTGAACACAAAAAGATTTGAGAAAAAATGGAGAGATTGATTCTGAAGCTCAGTGTAATCTGCTCTTCTGCTCCAACTTATTTGTTTGTTTTATTTTCTTCAAAAGTACTGAGTATGGCTTTCATTAAAATCTACAGTTTTGTGAATTTGAATGAAATTTGGTTGTGCTGTTCTTCAGCAAATGCAGCATCATTCTTCTGGTTGGCTCTGTTCTGTACATAATAAACAGCAGGGAATGTGGAGAGCTGTTGTTGGTATTACTTGAAGGAAGATGAAGGAGTTGAGGGAGGCTGGAGTGGCTTTTCGATTGGGCCATGGCAGCCTCTTGAATGTGTCTGTTATGTATTGAAAACAATATGAAAAATGGTGTGCGGGAGTTTTGAGTTTTGGAGACGGGGGACGAGAGCCGCTTCTGCGGGATCCACACCGGGCAGATTTCATCCACGTGGGCCATACTTCCACCAACCTGGGCCCGCCAAACACTTTCCATTACAATTAGGCCCATACCTTTTCCCCTCTCCTTTTTCTTTTTTCTTCTTTTATAAGATTTTCCCTAAAAAGAAATTCTAAATTTAGTTATTTTATATCTAATAAATAAATAAATAAAATTTTATGAATTTCAAATATGTGAAAACCTATTAACCCATCTTATTAGATGTCACGATGATCCTGCTTATCAGGAAACATTTTTTTGGAGATACGACTAGTTGTCATGAGATGCATACTTAACACCTCTTTCAAAGGTTTAAAGACTCGAGTATACATGGCTGGACCGTAGGCAGACATAAAAATGAATTAACTTACCTCACTTATTGCTAGAAAGTGAGTCTTGCATAATTGAAGTCTGATGTGATCAAAGTGCATTTTGACACTACACTTACTTTCCTTTTCTTTTAAGATTTACTAATTATATCAAACAAGACGATTATTTGAAGAGAAAAATGTGTACACAATATTCTCCGATAACCAGTAATTGTAAGGAGATGAATGGACGATAAGATAAAAAATTCGATTTTGCCAAAACGAAGCAGAAACCCTAATTCCTAAAACAAAAACGTCTCGAAAACAGGATTTGAGATTCAGCCAAGAAAACCTGAAGAAGAGTAACGTATTTAACGAAGAACAGAAAAAGAAGAAGAAGAAAGGGGAAGAATGAAATGATCGATGTTCAAGAGAAAAAGAGAGAAAGTGGAAGGCTCAGACACGCACAAACGCAGTCATCAGGTAACTTTGATCCACTGTGATTTAGCACACAGTTTCAGATTCGAGAAATGTAGTTTGTCATCACTGCCTCATTTCCACAACTACAAGTTGACTCCAACCCCTTTATGGTTTGTTTCGAAAATTGATCCAAATTCTTGAAGATCATCTTTCTTGAAGATGATGAAGGAGAAGGTAAAAACTTAGAAAGATAACAGAAGCTTAATTAAGCAAAGCCATAACCCTAAATTCAGTGAGCTTACAATACCCAAAATGAAGAAAGATGAGCATGCATTCGACTTCTGCAAAACCCTAAATCCGAAGCGAAGAATATATATAAGTGGATGTAACTCGGTGGGCCTCAAAGCCCAATTGCTTACAACATCTCCAACTACAATGGGCCTGAGATTTCATATCTGGACCTTATGATATTTATATGCATCCAACCATTAATAATACCCCCCATTAAGTTTATCCCTTTTCTTTTCCAACCTTTTGTCTTCACATGGTATCCAATAACCAAAATTTGCTTTTGTTTTTTCTTTTCTAAAACTATACTCTCTTTTATAAGTAAATGGTTACATTTAAAACAAACTTATTTTAATTCCACAACAATTGTTTTTTTTTAATTAAAAACATCACTTGAATTAGGCTCATTTTTGCGATGACAATACCTACCATCAAATTTAAAATTCAAACTAATTTGATGTAGTTTATTATTAAATAAATTTCTTGCAAAATATTAATTGTTATAGTCATGTTTGTCTATAGCCACATTGTCGGATGTCTCAATTGTGATTATCTAAAATGTAACCTATAAAAGTCGTGTTTTACATTCATGGCACCGGAAATGTAACCCATAAAAGTCATTCAATAAAACTCATTGCCTTTATTTTCCTTCTGCTTAACTCCAGCCGCCACTAACTAACTTCTGTTCAAACATTCAACGAACACAGCCGCCACCCCATGAATTATTCTGAGCCTAATCCTTTGAATAATTGTCCCATGTATTTTTTTCTATCTTAATTTGATATCGACTTATGGTCCTTGGCCTCAACGAAATGTATTATTTCATTTGACAAGGTTTTAATTAATACCCCCACCCTCCATGAACGTGGACTTCCCATTACAAGCATATCAAAATCCACTAAATTCCCAATCAAAATCCAAACAAACTAGGAATTGCCCCAAAAAGAGGAAACCCCCAAAAAAACCAAAAAATCCACTGAATTGAAGATGGTCAATGACGTCTTGTTTTCTCCTTTGCCTCCCATTTATTAAACCTCAAGCCATCGCCTCAGAGCCCTCCCCAAAAAAAAACCCCTTCTCACAGTTATCGTTTCATTACATTATGAATCACAGAAAACTCCTTTCCCAACGAAATCCTCCCTTCTCGTGGGAGCAAAACCCCGGCCGTTCCAAATTCTGCTTCAGGGATTTCCAGGCCCTTGCCTTACAGTCCCCGCCGTCGTCCACCTACCACAGAGAAGACTCTGAATTCGACGTCGTTTCTAAGATTCCTCCGCCGCCGTACCGGCTGCAGCCCCGTTCGATTAGAAACGCCTCCACCAAGGAAGACGACCCTTTTCTGGTGGCCTACAAGGAGTGCACTAAAAGTGTCAAAAATGGAAGCTTTGTGGAGAGAGGAAACAAAGGAGCTGCCGCCGTTTCGAAGAAGAGCAAGTTGTTTGGTTTTTCTTGCAAGACCATTCATTCCTGTGAAATTGGATCAAAATTTCCTTCAACCTCGTAGAGAATAGTACCATCTTCTAAATTAAATGTTTTAGTAGTCGGGTAGGCCCAGTGCCAAAGTTGGGCTGTTCATTTCTCCGTGTACTTGATGGGCCATCTTTGTAACGGGCTGGTTCTCGCAAAGATAGGCCCATTTGTAATTAATTGAGTAACAGACCTTTTAAAATAAGATAAATTGTATAATATATCTAAAAATGAAAATAATGTTGTATTCAATGACTTTTTAAAATAAGTTTTCTTGGCTACGTGGAAATTTTTAATTTATTCAATCAAATCATTTATTTAATTTAATCTTACTACTATTTCTGCCGGCCAAAAACACATGTAATTAAATTAATAAAAAAATCACATATTTCAATTATTATTAGTCGCCAGGCTGTATAAAAAGAACCCAACTTTATGGTTAATGTAATAAAATATTGATGGGTTGGAAAGAAAAATAGAAATAAACCAAACAATGTAATTGGGGATCTGTTCATGCAACATTACTATGCGGGGACTATCCAATGCATCTTATTGGATGAATGCCTTTAACTTGCAAAATCTACGAAATTTATGGGAAAATAAATAAATAAAAAAGAGTGAGGGCCCTAAAAAAAAGTTTTGAATAATATTAAACATGTTACTTTTGGTTGGATTGCAATCGAAATTGGGGTCATAGGCTTTACCTTTTTTCGCTTTTTTTTATTATAAAAACGACATGATCGGTATGCCTCATTCGTATAATTATTAGATTATTATAAAAACTGTATTTCAATATCTCTTTTAAATATTTATTATAAAATAAATATTAGATTGATTTTCTCAGTTTTAATTAAAAAATCAATATTACAAATTAGATTTGATTCATGGGGAAGAACCATTTCTATTCTTCCACTTTAAAAATTGAACCTATCAAATGATTATTAGATCTCGTTTTATTGGTGTATTTGTATTTGGGTAGAGAAAGCTTCCCATAAAAATTGGTTAATGATAATTTGTTTCTTATGTCAATAATCTTTTCATTATCGAATGAAACGATAAAGTGATTACCCACTAATTTGTTAAATCAATAAGAAACAAAATAAAAAGTTATTAAAAGAGACAACAGCATGCTCTAGAAAGTGGTGGACGTCATAGGAGAATTAGATTTGATTATGGTAACAATTGTCCCATAGCTCATAAAAATGGGCTTAACATCGTTTTAACAAATATATAATGAATCTCCACTGTTCATATATATTATAATATGATTTAGAATGACAATCGTAACCCTCAAGATTAAAAGCATATTAAAAGAATGGTAGTTGGGCCCATGCATCTCAAGTTTTCAAACCAGATCGTGTACCGGTTTGCTAAAATAGAAAAATGATTATTTCTATAAATACTATATAGCAAGAGAAAATAAAATTTAAAAAAAAAAAAAAGAAGAAAAGATTAAGCATAGCTATTACTAATAAAGCTAGTCGCCGATCTTCTTTTACACAATATTAGTTGCTATAAATATAGCGTAAAACCCCACCAACATATATATATATATAGATATATAGATATAGGTATATATATTCTTTTCTCTAGCAGCTTTTTTCTTAGTTTACAAAGAGAGATAAAGAGGATGATGCTGAGAAATTGGTTCTTCTTTATAAGGGTCTGGTTGTTTTAGCAATTAACGAGGTTGTTGTTGTTGTTGTTGTTATTAAGGATGTATTGCGATTGGGACATATTTGGCGGCTGTTCAAAGGAGCTGTAGGGGGAAGCATAAGCCAATTGTCGATGGAATTGCCGGAAGATTAATACTTGTCGGCTATACAAAAGTTTCTGCCGCAGAATTGTGTGTTCGGTCTGGAGATGGTCGTTTTCCGTCCGCACACGGTTCAACTGACTAACCGTGAACCGCAACTGCTTCGATAGCTCCCGGTTTTCAACTATCAGCTTGTTCACCAAGTTTCTTAAGTTTTCTAAGTGCTTCTGTTTTCGAGCCCGGGACCGCCTCGCTGACTCCCGGTTCGACTCCATCCGCCGTCGTTTTCTTTCGTCTATCACCTCAAACTTCCGGTCCGGTTCACACGCGTCAGGATCCATGGCTTCGGGTTCCACCCGGTCTACGAAACTGGAACTCGAAATCACCGGTTTTGGGGCGGCTGGTTCCGGAAACTGGAACACAACCGGCAAGAACCCGTGGTCGTGATCTTGGCATTCCCACGGCGTCGAGGTGCCGTCGACAGCCGGAAATGGGTTTTCGAGCATGGACTCGTACGGCGAACCAGTCGGGAAAGTAGTCCGCATGACGACAGGACGAAGAATTTGCTGAACAAGATAAAGGAGGAGAGAGGGAGGAGGAAAGGGAAGAATTGCAGCGTAGGGGCCTGGTATTTATCGCTAGACTCTCGAGGATAGTTCCGTAAATTATGGTTAACGTTGAGGGTAAGTACGTCATTACTGAATAAGATGATATCTAAGTGGCATGGTAGTGGAAGTGTGTAAGCTCGCTTTACTCTTGGCGGGACAGATGGATGATATAAGCCAGTGGGGCCGTGGCATTGGTGCAAGGGTGATATTAGCTTCGTGGTGAAGAAACAAAGTTTGTGGGTTCCACAATGTACACGTGTCGACTATTAATTCGAAGCGAACGTCACAGCCAGTTATTAAATAAATCTAATTCTACACTAAACATCTGTATGAATAAAATAAATAAATCAGATTTTTCCGTTTAAAAGAAAATTAAAAAAAAAAAAAAAATGATAGAACCAGAAACCACAAGGCTCAGTCGTACTCGTGACTTCGGCTACGACGGCTCCGGATTCGTCCACTTCAAATGGTGTCCACCCAATTAAGCCGTAGATGCAAAAGGCTGCAAACTCAAAGGGCAAAGTTGTCATTTCACATATTAATTATTAGTTGATTATGGAATAAATTTAGCATAAAGTTAGAGTTTATTGTTACATTTTAATTACTAACCCATTATTAATATTATGGCCGGCTGTGTGACATAAAGAAGATTCTTGGAGTTGTACTTCCAAATTATAATAAATATATGAACGCACAAATTTTAAATTAAAACTCTAATTTTTAAAAAGCTGCTCGACTAAAACTGGCAGTTAACTTGTTAATACTCCACGAACACACCAACTTTTCGAAGCTTTTATTATGTTTTTTTTCAAAGAAATATAAATATTTAGGGTTTAGGGTTCCTATTTTAAAATTTTACAAAGCAGCAGCAGTTGGAGTACAACAACCTTAAAATATTCGTTGTGTTATTTGGAAATTTTATAAAAGGAGCGGTCGGGAGAGCAAAGCATAAACTTGGCAATCATCTCAAGAAATTCGCAAAGGCCACCCAAAGTAGGCCTCATGTGGAACGACACATCCGTTGCCCACAAAGATGTTTTTTTAACTTAATTTAGTTAAATGCAACTTTTAAGAGCAGCTAAAGCATCCCTCCTTTAGTTTATGTTTGGTGTAATATAACACAAACCTTAATCAACTCTAATATCACATGATGTTTTTCTATAAATATCATTACGTATCTTACTTCTATCTTGTTATCTAATTAAAAGGTTAAAGCTAAATAACTAATCATCTTTTCTAATCAACCCATCGTTATATTAACCACATTAATACATAAAATTTTCACTGTTCCTTTGTACCCTTGTCTTGCTTTTCACATGCTCCTTTAACTTTTTTTCCCCTCCAATTCCACCCACGAAGGGCTAAGATTTTGTTGGATTTTACTTTTTCTTTCCTTTTTACCCTTTCAACATTAATTAGTGGACACAATGGTATTGGTTACACGACACTTTATTCAATATCAAAACCATGCTTTATACCCTAGGTTAGATGAGCGGATGAGCTTATTATCATTGTACCTTCAACAGATGTACAAATAGTTTATTTGAACCACTAATTAGGGTTTTGATTATTGGATCTTCATAGTTAACTCACTTAATTAAGTAAATTAGATTGGATTGGAAAAATTAGTTTTTGTTTTCTGAAATGAAATTAATTTAACCAAAGTTTAATTATGTTAATAAAACTTATGTATACAAAGAAAATATTTGATATTAAAATATAAAGTAGGGTTTATTAAGAAACCGCGTTTGGAAAATATGAACAGAGTGGCATTGAAGTATGGATTAATTAAAGTATGAATAACTCCTTTATTAATCCAAACTTTGGATCTGTCATTCACATTTATTAATGTTATATAATTATTTCAAAAATATTTGTAGTGGAGGTATTTTTGTCTATCATTTTTTTTATTCTTTTTTAAAAATAATAATAATAAAAAAAAATACTTTTTTGGGTTATTTTTACCAGAGGAATTTCGTGTAGTTATTTTTGAAATCCATTATTTAAATTTAGTATTTTGTCTTGTAGTCACTAACTTATATGCTATGTTGTTAAAGCCCATCGTAAAACCCAATACATTTTGGATTTTGGATTTGAGTATGTGATCCAAACACAAAACAGGCTATTTTATTTGGACCTGGTGGAAGATTTTCAAAAATATTAATGAATTTATAATATTGTATAAATATTATAAATATTTTTCTGCTAAAAGAATCTCGCACAGAACGTGGAAAAAAAACATCATTAATCATTCACACGCCTTTAATTGTGTTCGTGTTCGTTCTGAGATTTGTTTTGGAAAAAGAGAGATGAATGTTCTTGTTTGATTGGTCAAAGAAGGAAATTTGGTTGTTTTACGTGTGTGAACATTCGTTTGTGGAATGTTACAAATTCCATCACAGTGCCGTCGCTCCTTTGTTTTCAATGCTTAATTTCTTATGTCATCATGATCTAAACCACGCCTCACGGATCGATATACCTTAAAATATGCGCATGTTGGTATATACAACGTTTAGATTAAACTTATAACCTATAATTAATTACCATAGGAATATGTAACCGACCTTATTTTTCTTATTATAATAAAGTGACCGCGTTGTATATGACTTAATTAAGAAATGCAAGTCTTTTAAAATATTTCAAAACAATATCATATACACGTATATGTTCATGATAAAATTGTTAAAATAATTATAGCAATGCCTCACCATGTAATGTTTCATGATCTTCATCTTAGCCTCCTTTAATTAAAAAAACATATATATATATATAGGAGTAGATTTTATTTACGCGAGAGTCGGTAAATGCAAACACATGTAATTGCGCTTGTGTATCGTAAATTTATTCCTTTTATATTTATGGTCGACCATCTTGGGCTGCTTATACAAAGTCGAAGCAGCAGCTTCTCAGGTTCACACGCATGTCCGATTCTTCTTTGATTTCTTTTATATACCATTTCTTTCATTACTTTCTCTTTATCCTTTAATTTCCAACCCTTTCCTTACTTTCAAATCCACTAATGCCTTCTAAATTCTTCTCTTTCCGCTGCCTTATCTTTCTCCTCCTCCTCCTCCTCTGCAACAGGCTACCACCAGCTCATGCTGCCCGCCCTGCTCCCGTCTTTGCATCACTGCCCACTCAGGTTTGTTATCGTAATCTATTCGCTTCAGTGTTATTGTTCTACCAAGAGTAAGAACAAAGTGTTGGGTCATATTTTTCTCCAACTAAATTGTATTCATTTGTACATCTTGTTGATATTGAGATGGTTGTTTATTTGGGTTTTGTAGGGATTGGATGAGAACCAAACTGATAGCGAGAATATGGATGAGAAGTGCAGTGGAGTAAGCGAAGAAGAGTGTTTGATCAGACGAACTCTAGCTGCTCACTTAGATTACGTCTATACTCAAAAGCATACCCCGTAATTTCAACACCTTTTCATTCTAATTTCTTCCTTTTATGTATCTACAAACTTCCATTCATGCCACTTATATATCTATTGAATTAGCTTCACTGGGTCTCAATGAAAGAAAAAAACAGAGCATTTTTAGATGATCCCAGACAGGACAAATTAATGAAATTGATTATGATTCTGAACATGAGCATCTGACTTTTCTGCACACTTCACAACAAATTGAATCGGTGGGGTATTACAAATAAAAATAAACCACATGTTTTTAAAGTTGGATAGATATTCAGCTCCATTGGTTGGAAGCAACATGCTAGATTTAGCCCTCTTGTAACCAATTACTAGCGTTGGACACCAACAACATGAAGGCCCCTCGACGACATAAAGTAAATAGTCCCTTGGGTACGCGCTTCAACTTTATGCGTTACATATCCAAATTCAAAGTGCATATGTGGATCAAAGTGGCCGCCCGGTGGTGCCTCCCACGCGCAGCTATGAAACATGGGGTAGAAGGAAAGGCAACTAGGGGGCCTATTTTGACTACTATTTAACGCTTTGTGACTGACCAAAACGGCTAATAGTACTTTGATTCATAAAGCTTCATTGTACCTTTTTCTTAGGCGTTTACATTTCAAATCGTTTCAAATATAGAAATATATTCAAAATCATTTGATTGAGACGTCACATAGTTTAATTTTAGTGGTGTGAATTATTAGACAATTGAAAGTTTCCAATATTCTTGTCAACATTTAAAAGCATAGAACATCGCTTCAAAATATGTTTTAAATGATAATCTCCGCTTATAATATGTTTTAAATTTTGCACGACTTCAATGACATTAAAATTTTAGATTAGAATTTTCAAAATAGTACCAGTCAAAATTCCAAAATAAAATGTTGACTTTCCGGCTAAAAAAATGAATGCTACTATGTTCATTATTTTGTATCTTCTTCCCTCTATGATATAACTTAACAATAGATGCTTCCACCCAAGTCTTTCATAATAGAACAAAATAAACATTAAATAAAGACAAAGGTACTTTGGAAAAGATGGTTAGATTTGATCAAATTGGGAATTGGTTATTACATGGTTTCTTGAAATCATCGGTTACATTGACCTACTAATTTAATGCATGTCGGTTCGTACACAAAGTACGTTGGAAAAGATGGTTTTGAAGTACTAAATAAGAATTTAATACAATCCTTTGTCAGCTCTCAACATGGTCAATTTCGGCCTAATATCTACTTTGGGAATACTTATATTGGAATTTGTAACTCAGACTCTTCCAAATCAATTTTATTATTTTAATCTGATTTTGGCACGGTTTAATAAAACATTTGATCAATAATAGCGTTGGAGAGTTGAGTATAATATATTTCATTATGGAATGGGATGAAGATGTTAATTTACAGTAATAAGAAGAACAAAAACAAAATTAAAGGTAAATGTGAAAAAGGATTGAAAACATATATAAACTTCAAGTTGGGAACTTGAGTGTTAAAAATACACTTAAATCCAATCCGACAATGGAAGTTGCATAATTGAACACTATGTACAGATAATTCGAGAAATGAAAAGGCATCCCCA